CTAGAAATCAATATTTCAAGATTTTTGACCAGTTTCTCATCAAGTACATTAAATGTTGTTCTCTTGACAACTTACTCATTAGGCTTCCAATAAGTTTAAACAATTTGTACAAGAGTTAAATTATCTAATAATAAACTTGTACAATTTTTATCGAAGCAATTATCTAATTTCATTTTTTTTTTCTCTCTCTTTCCTCGATCTTTCTCTTTTCTATATAATTTTTTGTATACAAAAGCCATGTACAAAAAAATCTCTACAGAAAACGGCAACAAAAGTTTTACTGGAGAGAGGGGTGCGAAATCTCACAAAAATAAATAAATAAAAGCATAATTTTAATAATATAATTAACATGTTGCAAATTCAGTAATATGGAACCACAACAATTAATTTACTCCCCAAAAGATGAAAGACATATTGGGACTAAAATTACCTTAAAAACAAATAATTACATATCCACTAACCAAATTGAAGGGTAGTCAAGGTAGACAAGGCATTGGGTTACGAGCCTCTTTTTGTTCCATCACTTACTTTCTTTATCTCTTATCTTCTCCACCGTAGAGCAACATGCTGAGATGTTTTCATCCTGCTTTTTGACTTTTGCGGCAAACTCGGTGATAATGGAGCTTTACAAATTGTATTGAAAAGGGAGAAAGCACAAATCTCAGACTTGGTAATTGAAATGGAATAGATTTGATTCTTTCAATATATCCCAGTGGGACAATACAATGATCTTATGCGTTGAGTAACAATCATTAGCTTCTAATAATTTTTGTCTAGCTGATGGGATTTGAGCTTTGTATTGTAGAGTTTAAAGTGCTTCTGTTTTGGACTTCTTACCCAACTTGCTTGTTAGGTTCACTTAATAGACTTTGAGTTTTAATTCCTTCTGTCCATCCTGTGTAACCATGATTAAATAATGCTCATTTACTCATCTTATGCTTTTGTTTATTCAGTGCATCATTTGTCAAAAAAAGACTGATATAAACACTATTTTAATGATTAAATTTAATGGTGAGAAAGTATAAAAGTGATGTATAAATAATATTTATGAAGGAAATTTATGGGCCGGCAAACGGTAGTATGAGAAGGCCACTTGCTTATTCAGTCCAGAAATTTGTTTACTTGAAGAAACGTTTAGAATATTTTTTGATATATAGTTTAATTAAATAACTTAATTTAATAAATTATGGCCTAAAAATTATTTAAATAAGTTTAAAAATATTCTGCGAGTCATGTTATTTTCATAAAAATTTTATAAGTTCTTTCAACTGAGTTATTAATCAAAGGAATCAAACATGATGATGACTACTAATTTCACACAATTAGTAAGTATTTTATGTATTGAACAATTTTTTAATTTAAATAAATTTTTAAAATAAACATATTTTATTATAGTAAAAACATTCATAAATTCAATTAAATAATAAAAATAAAAATAATTTAAATAAAATAATAAAGTTAACGAAAAAAGCCGATTTGAAAATATAAGCAATCGAGATGACAAATATTCAAAATTAATATTTAAAGAAAAATATTAATGTAATAATTAATATTTTTTTAATAAAAAAAACAATGGTATAGTCACTTATTATAAGAAAAAATATACAATATAAGATGTCTTGATCATGTATAAGAATAGAATTTTAAATGTATGATATATAAAAGTGAATAATACAGTGTTTGTGAAGATCAAATTAACTTTTTTGTTTATACAACGTTTGGATATTATAGAATTACGCTGCTGAATTCAATTACAGATTCTCTTTCTTCAAATTGTAGTTTTGTAAGCACTCCAAAACAATTTTTTTATGCTTTTCTCACATCCATTTCTTTTTTTCAGTTTTTCACAAGTTTATCCATTCTAATAAGGCAAAGTTTGGCCACTTAGGCACTTCTAAGTTATAAACCCAAGAAAGAAAAAGATACACAAATTATCAAATTATTAAACTAGCAAACATATGAAAAGTCTTAATCGTGTTTAAACTTCAAATTTGAAACAGTTAACATCAATGTAATCACTAAATATCTGATGATGTAAATAATAAAATAAAGTAATTAAATAGACAACAATTATTATTGTGTTCATGAATCTACATTTATTTTTAAATCTACTAATTATAATTAATTTTTGTATTAAACTTGTGTACAGATTTTTAACATGTTTATACAGATTGGTTATACGATTAAATTTAGATATTTTGCAGTTTTCTTTTTCCTCAAATACTAATTGACCGTGTTTCTTTACTTGCATTGTAATTATTTTTTTTTTAAAATGTCGATAAATAAATAGGTGACGGTTAAACAAATTATAGCAAAAGTTTTAAAGTGCAACATTTAATTTTTTTATTTTAGTAACATCATTGATATACGAACATCGTATTTGAGAATTCAATTAATCACAGTGGAATCAAATACAATCATCATAAATGGTTTTTTTCACCTTGAGATTTCTAATTAAGTTCAAGCAGTCACTTTACCAACTAAAATTTATGCATTAACAGTGACATTTAACTTAATTTACAAAGATCTTTTTAAATTTTAATTATTAAATATAACATATTTGTCTGTCAGATACACACGCACACATAGGTGTAGTAAGAGGACAAGTGGGTATTATAATTCTCAGACTTTCAATCATACTCTTAATATGTTTACATTAAGTTACGATCACAAGTATTTTTCACAAGAAAAATATTCACAACAAAACAAATTACACAAGATTTTGGCACTAAATCTCTAATTAAAAAAATTTAAATATGTGCCACTTAACTCAACTACTCATTACTTAAGAGTAATTATAAATTTTTACATATGACAACTCAAGTTTATCATCCCTATAAATAAACACTTTCAGATGATAAAAGAAACAAAATTACTTTGTGAACTTAATTTTTATCATACTACTTCTTTATTGAATAATAAAATTAAAAAAAAAATTGTAACTCATTATTTCCTATTTCTCAAGGGGGGAAAAGTATAAGATTCACTCTTTTTGACTTTTCAGATCTTAGAGTCCATTTATCCAAAAGTCAAGGTTATGTTTATCTTTGGTCTCTGCTTCATGTTCCAAACTCATCCTAAAGTTGACTTACTTGGTCGTCTGCAAACGCAAAATGTCCAAATCCAAATACGGTGTGATAGTAAACTACTTGTAAATCTCTTATAAAGTATTCACATGTTAAAGAGCCTTTTTTAGTGGAAATTTTAATTAAAAAAATAATGTTATAAACCTAACCATAAAAACTTATTAAACTAAGTTTAAAATATTTTATTAATTTTTAAACAAATATTAAAATAGTTAAATAATTTGAATCATAAATCATTTTCGTATACTCAAATAAATTTTTGTTTGCGTATTCCAAACATCCACCCCCTCACCCATTTTCTTTTGCATAAAATGCATGCTCATGTTATAAGATGTAAGCCGTTCTTATATATGCAACTCAACTTAAACTTCTGACATAGATCCACTTAAATTGTCAAATCGAGGTAAAACTTTAAGGCAGCTAATAACTCTCATATTATGCCCTTGCGATCGACCCAAATTCTGTGCATCATTTCCCTTTTTCCTGTAGTCATGGGCCTATACCACTCCTCATACTACTTTCAGGGGAAATAACATTATTTTTCTTTTGCAATAATGTTCCAGAAAACTATTTTGGTACAACCACTGTGCACTTTGATCCGCGCGCGTCTGCAGAAAAAAAGAAAAACAATGCTCTATTAATGATATTCATATAAACAGAAACAACTGAGATATCCGATAAATTCTCAACTGTTCAAAACACGCGGAAGCCAGCAAAGACACATTTTTCATTGTATATAAGCAAAATATGTAGTAAATTAACTAAAACTGAACTATTGCGACATATTCATATTTTTGGAAAAAGGAACAAAGGAGATATGCACCTCTCTTTCTTTAAACTAAATAAATCCGTATTAAGGAAACTGAAAAAGCATATCAAGCTTCAAATGATGTTGCCAGATGTAAAAACATTCGGAAGTCAAACAGTAGCTTCAACACAACACGGAGGCATGAGCCAACCCTTTCTCTGCAGGTTTATTTTTATTTAGTTTTGCTATTAATCCTGTTCTTTTTAACATTCTTTAACCAATATGCAAGTTTCTTCTTAATTGTCCATCGATTTCCTTGAACCATGTTTAAAAAGTCGGGTCACCACCGTGCATATCAGTGCAAAAAAGTTTCAACTTCTCAGAACAGTTTCAATGTCAAAAGTACCAAGTGACAACACTGCAGAAAAACGGTAAATAGAAGTGGAAGCTCTGCACAATTCTTGACTGCAGAATTATATTTATTTTTGTTCCAAATTTACCTCCCAGTCACACCAGCATGGAATGGACATTATATTACAAAGCTAGGGAAATGTTTTGTTGGGACCATTGTCTGTAGTCACTCACATGTAATAAAGTTTGATTAATTGATATCTCAAGGGAAAAAGCACACGTCCACGGCTATCGTGTTGTACTCAAAACTACATCTTATTGACAAGCAGCAAAACCAGGTGGCATGAGCCCACATTGTTACCACTTTTGCAGGAAGGCATAAAATGCCAAAAATTAAGTTAAAATGCTCCCAAATTATAAGCCTCCCCAACCTTACACCAATCAGCTAACCTTTTGCAGAATAAAGACAGAAAAAGAAAACGCATGGTGTCCAAAGGGAAAGCACAAATTTCAGTGGCGCCACATATGAAGCCATACATGCCCCTGGCTTTTTCAGGCAATAAACTGATAACACATGAAACTAACTGGAAAAGATTCATGCCATTAACATCATCAGTATATGGTTAAAAATTAAAATTCTTGTTAACAAGAGTAATCGAAGAAGCATGCTAGATGCTACTCACGGTAAAAGAAAAATGCAGGGTGCTTTTATCCAACCAACCATCAAGAATACATAGGCATGTGTGGTTTTACACAAACAAATGCAGCAAATCTAACAACATCAAACCAAAGGAACATCATAAGGAACTTCAATTTTAATACAACCGAAGTACACTTCTGGCAATAGAGTGTGCCTGGTTCGACCTGCTGCCTTTCCCGGATCCATTTCTCCAGCCACCTCGTGCCGGCGTTAAATAGAGCCTCAACAGCCCATTGTTATCTCCGTTGTTAGGAGAGTACCGGGCACTCCGGTTCCTTTCCAATACAAACTCATCCCTTCCCTTCCTTCCATGATGCCCATTAGCCTGAACATCACTCTTCCTCATACCTCCAAATCCACCAAAAGCCTGAGCATTTCTCCAACTCACGCAGCTATTGCTCCTCAAAACCTTTGGATTAAAACCACCTCTACCATCAGGATTCCTCTCCCCTCTAAACTCTTGCCATGACTCCGAGTAAGACCGCTCCACCCCATTTCCATTCCCATTCCCTCTACTATACCTACTATCCTCATCCTCATCCTTATTGCCTCCTCCTCCACCTCGCCGGTGAATAAAACCCCAAATAACCTTGCTCCACCGGCTGGACGACTTCTTAGACCCTCCTTTCCGGTCCCCATTGCACTTTCCCCCATTATTACCATCCCTAAACCTGACATCAATCATCTCAGAGCTATCATCTCTCAAGGAATTGGAATTGGAATCCCTCAAGGGATGAAAATAATCAGCCGAAGCAGCAGGAGTGACCTTAGCATTGGCATTGGTAACAGGCTTCAATTCATCCATTTCAGCCACAACAGCAGCGGCGGTCTTCCTTATGGAACTAGACCTATCAAGACTCTTCCTCCGCCGCGCGGAAGAGTCAGAATAATACTCCCTGGTCTGAGCAGAACCACCAGGGAGTGTCTCATCTTCATGCTCATTGATAGCATTCATGGCCATTGTTAATGGTTCCTCCACAGGAATCAGTGTATCAGTTCTCAGAACCTGAACAGGAGCATCTTCAACCACAGACAACATTGTAGGCATCCTAGGAGGAAGGGGAAAGGTTGACCTTGCCATCAAGTAACCGTCCCACGAGGCTCGGGGCTCGTCGAACGAGTACCGAGGATCACCGTCAAAAGACATTCGCCCGGCATCAAGCGAGAACCGCGGATCAGTGTCGCAGGAGCGCCGGCCGAAGCCATAATCGGCGATCTCTGACTGAGTCTCGCGGAATTGCCGTCCAATGGGCTTCTCCACGGGCAGCAGCGTACGGGACCCCACAACGGCGCCGTTTCTTCCACGCTTCTTCATCTTCTGCTTCTGCCTCCACTTCTGGAGTTTCTTGCTGAAAACCGAGGCTGCGGACCAGAAACTCCCCGCTATTTCCTTGAAATCACGTCCAGAACTCTTCTTAGCTTGCGAATCCAGATCCATGTGCTCCTTCATCGGCTTCAATACCTCTTCTGCTTCCACATAAACTTCGGCTTCCGCTTCTGCTTCTATTTCCGGTTCCTCTTCTACAATTTCATGAACCCTATCTTCAATAACATTTGATTGTTCAAGTTGCGGTTTAGGTTCTGGCTCTGGCTCTTCCAAAACCCTAACCTCGTCCTCGTCGTCTTCTACAACGATGATATCTTCCTCCTCTTCCTTGGTCTCGATGACCGGTCCTTGAACGACGGAAGAGGAAGCGAGGTTTCTCGTTTCGACTTCGGTTTCCTTTTTGGGGATTTTGCGTTCGTCGTCTTGGTTGAAGAGGGAGAAGAGGGTGCTGCGAGCTCTGACGTCGCAGGACCTTCTCTGAGGCTCGAAGGCACCGGAGAAGCCTTCGTTCTTGGAGGCGGAGAAGGACTTGGTGCGGCGGAGCTCCGGGAAGAATGAGGAGGAGGAGGAAAGGGGAGGGCGGTTGGCGGCGCGTGCGGCGGTGGAGGGTCGGAAAATGGCTTTAAGGGCGGCGGCGGCGGTGGAGGACGTAGGGGGCTTGCGAGTGGAGGAAGAAGAGTTGGGATCGAGAACGGCGAGGCGTTCGCAGAGGCATGAGGGACAGAAGCCGGTGAACTGCTCCTGGGGATGGCGGTCGCAGGAGGTTGAAGGTCGGTGAGGTTGCAATGGCTGTTGAAGTGGCGGTGGTTGTGGCGGTAACAATGGCGGTGGTTGCGGTGGGGGTTGGGTGGTGGGATTCATAACCGTAAATGGTGGTGCTGTGAGATTGTTAAGAGTGTGGTCATGTTACAGTGGGCTAAGACGAAGAAGAAGAAGAAGAAGAAGAAGGAAAAAGAAAACAAGGAGATTGGTGTTTTTGTGAGAGAGAAAGAGAGTGAAGAGCAGAGAAAGGAGTGTGTATGTGTGTGTGCGTTTTGTCTCTGTCTCTGTGTGTATGACAGAGAAAGGAGCGATAGAGAGAGAAAGAACTGTTTGGTTCCAACGGACACACAGAAAGTGAAGTGTGAGAGAGAAAGAGAGCAAGCTTCACCAAAATATAATATGCAAAACAAAAACGCATACTGCTCTACTATTAATGCAAATATATTATTTTATTCCTTATATTAATAATATACAAACAAAATCTCACATAAACAATACTATCGTTGCTACAAGTTACAATGAATATATTTTCTTTTTCTCCTTGTTAAATTCTCAAATTTAAGCTTTTTATAATATATATATATATATATATATATATAAATTTCTTTTAGTGGTTTTACTAGTTTGGGTCCATTGACTATTTTGTTGATGGAAGTTCAGCATTTAATACAAAAAAATATTTTTAAACATATCACTGTAATAAAAGTTATTTGATCCTTTGTTATTAAATGTACGTCACATTAAGTATATGAATTTTTTTTTATTGGGTTATTAGTTGATGTTACGCGTTTACGAATTGGTAGTTTTATTTTTTTAATAAGAAAATAAAGGACAATAAATTATATTTATAATAATTTTAAATAAATAATAAATGATAATGAAAAAAATTTGAAATAAATTAAAATATATAATCTTAAGTAAAAACTATCAATTAACTTTTTATGAATTAAAAAAATTAAAAGCATACAAATTAAAAAATCTACCTTTTATGTTAATATTTAAAATATTATATAAACGAATAAGCCACGAAATTATTTACAATAGAATAATCATATTCTTATATTATAATTTTATAATTATTTTCATGTACTCATTTTTTATTATTTATATCAGATTATTCAATTAAATATTATTTTATTATTTACAAAAGTTAACAATCAACAAGTCAACAACGTGCTTGGATAAGTGTATAAACAAAGTTTACACATTTATCTAAAAAGTTTTTTGAAGTAAAAATTTATTAATTATACTATTACTCCGTTAACAAGCATATTACAACAGGCACATATCTGTATATGTTTGCTTAATGAACTTTTTCATGGTCTTACAACCACAGAGGAATTACTCAACCCGGCCAAAAAAGGTCAAACCCGTAAACTTGTAATTTCATGTTTGGAATGATTGAGTTCTTTTTTTCTAATCAATTTCTATATTAATATGGTCAAACTTAAGTAATATATATATTTTTAGGGTGATTTTCTTTGTTTATATTATTATTCAAGTTAGATTCTTTTAACATGATACTAAATTACTATCATCCCTAGTTTAATAACATCAAGTTTTCTTTTTCCTATGAAGTAATTTTTATATTGTAATGGCGATATATTTTTTAGCTCAGGGCCTTTAATTTATTCTCAATATTAAATTACTATCACCAATTATTTTTGTTTATATAACTTAATCTTTGCACTAATATTGCTTTAAGCATTTTTTGTAAATCTTTTATGCACCGTTCATTTTCCTAATAAATTTAAGAAATTATCTTCATCGTTTTTTTTCTTTTCTTTTTCTTTCATGGGGATGCTTCGATTTTTGAAGATTCCTGTGTGATAGGAAAAGCAAAAGTTAATTACGGCATCATAATTTACAGTTTGAGTGAAAAAATAAAATAAAAGAATTATTCCCTTTTTTTTTTTTTTTTACTTTCTCACATTTCACTTTCTCTCTTGCTCTCTCTCTCTCTCCTTTTATTTCTTATACATTTTGTTTCTTCATCTTTTACTTTCCTTTTCTCTTTTTCTTTTTCCTGTTTCAAGCTCTTTTTGTTTTTCGGCTTTCTTTTTCTCCATACAGCTCTAATCCTTCCCACTTGGTTTTGCTTCGTAAGCAAACAAACTGTGCCTCCTTCAGTGTCCCAAACATAAAGGTGCATAAGCTAAGCCCCACCTCACAGCATAACCTAAAATAGTTTTAAAGTTAAATGGAGAGTCATGTTTGCAATTGCTCAAAAGACTTTAATTTCATGATCTAGACCATTCAAGAAACTATGTAGCAAGACTAATATAGTGTTTCCTAGTATTAGAGTATATCATAAGTTTATAAAAGCAAAATCTAGCATGTTTTCCTCAATTCAACATACAGACATCATAAACCTCATGGTTGTAAAACACCCCAGTAATTTTTAGCAATTGACATCTGATTTAAAATTATTCATACGTTAAATATGAGGAGGGATAAAGTTAATTATACCTATGAATGGCCCTTGCACTTATTTTTATACCATTTAATAATTTTTATTAAATAAATTTATGATAAAATTAACCATTAAATTACATTTTCTCTTCATAAGGTTCCATTTTAACATTAATGTATATTTTTGAGCATATAAAATTAAGAATTATTTAACTGGGACCAAATTTTAGTTCAATTAATTTTTATAAGATGCTCTGACAAATAATCTCAAGAATATATACTTACAACTTAACAATTTAATCAATAAAAATCATATATTGCGCAAAATCATTGATATGCATATAAACTGAGTACAGTGATGTGAAAATATATATACAAAAAGAAATCATCTGTTGAATTGTTGATTTATTTGTGTTAGTATTATTTATAAATACATGTGGAGAAATATTCATAGTTTGGGTGAAGTGTTGGTGTTTTGTGAAAGATGTTTTGCCCTATGTGGGTTGAAGAATGGGACATATGGAAGGGATTGGCTTTACTTGGCCTGCCTTTTTACATTTGGCAAGAAAGAGTACGTAGGAGACTATAAAGACTAGACAAATTAATAGAGCAAGTCCCACCCCAAAAGACAAAAATGGTATTCCTCAAAGCATAATGTGAAAGGCCATAAGCTCCTCCCTCCATCCACTTCAAAAGGAAACCAGCTTTATCCATAAAAACTCTAGTTTCCCAAATGCCTAACTCATCCGTGTCAACTTTTCGTATCACCAAATTTTCTACCTAATTGTTGCCAATAAAATTCTAACATCAATGCACTAAAGTATTAGCTATGCACTCTCCTAAATGCATTTTTTATTTATTAATTAAATTTATTAAAAATCCAAAAATTATATAATTTTACTTCTAATTTAATAAACTTATGTATATTTTTAAATTTTAATTAATAATAAAAATTGTATTAGAAAGAGTATGTTAAAGATTATATCTCGCCCCTCACTGTCAAAATTAACTGTCCTTGTCATTCCTTATAAAATTCACGTATATATTACCACAACTTCTAAATCTTCTAACTGATACAAAGGGGAAAATGCTTATTTATGTCTATTTTATTGATTAAAAATTTATGCGTACGAGATTCCCGATTCAAAGCAATCATATTTTCTTTCAGATAATTTTTCATAAATTTTGTAATTTATATTTCGGTTTTTTATATCTAAACATGTGAAAAACATGTACGATGCTTTGACCAACCTTGCAATTGCCACAGAATCTATTTTTTTTATAGTCATTCCTTAATCTTACAATTTTAAATAACAAAGATATATGTACCTTTTTTAAAATACAACACTTGCAAGTTTGTATTTTTATTTTTTTTTCTATCATGATTTCTATTTAACGAGCTTCTTCATGAGTATTGAAGGAAATCCTTTAATAGTAAATTTTTTTGTAATTGTTACAAGAAACATGTGTCATTTGGCGTGTTAGATATACAAATAGAAATTACAAATGAAAAATTAAGAAAATTTTTAAAACTAAATTACAAACAAATTTACAAACTAATAAATCTATTTGTAATTTGGAGGGATGCGCTCATTTCAAATAGAGTTTTACATTTGTAATTCGATTAATAAAACGCAGCATTTCATTAATGTAATTATAAATATATTTTTTTTCTCTATAAGCTTAAAACATAAACTAAAACGCGTTTCCTATCTTCTTCTTCACTTTTTTATTTCTCTCTCTAGCGTCTTCTATGTTTTGCTGCAGGTGATTGGAGCCTCCGTTTTGAAAACAATTTGTGCTATTATATTTTTATAGTATACTCTAACTTTTAATTATTTTAATTTTTTTATTTTGTTAATATTTTATAGTATATAAAGATAAAAATTTATAATTTTTAAGATCTAATAGTAAAACTAAAGATCAAAAGAAAATAAAAAATTATAGATAAAATTTAATTTATTACAAACGATAAAATTCATCTATAAAATATATAAAAATTATTATAAATTTTGTTATTATAAATGATCAAATTTGAATGTAAATTTATAAACAGTAAAATTAGACTGTAATAAATATATTTTTAAAGATAAAAATAATTTTTTTAACTTCAGAGATAGTAAAATTTATCTATATGACTTACATATGAGGAAAAAAATAAAAAAATTTATTTATCTATAAATTTATTTATAATAGTAAAATTTATCTATAACTTTTTGAAAAATTTATCTGCAAATTTGTCTATATTTTACTAATTTCTTTACTGCTTAGCATGGTCCCCTGCGTTGTTGAAACAAATATTTTAACGGAGGACAAAAGAATATCAAAATTTCTATAACATGGGAAAGAGTCCAGTCAATATAGTTATTAATAGAATAACAAAACATAAAGTTAAAATAAATATAAAGATAAATTTGTAACTTTCTTATTGTTTGTCTCTTTAACAGTTACACTCTCCGGTTAATAGGAAGAAAATCTTAAGTTTGTACTTTGTCTGTAATATTACTAATCGTTTGTTGAGTTTTCTCTCTAATTATATTTGAAAAAAATTGTGCGGACTCACTCGTTATAATATAAAATACACATATTCCTATAATATAGGAAGCATTAAAAAAATTGTCATAACCCTAGTCCCAAATAATTAGTAATGAGATAATAAGGGATAAGCAATATTTTATAGTGCCAAG